GGAAAACTTGAATCCAGATTCTGAAATTTGAATCTAATGGTTTCAGTGGTGCATCGAAGCACTTCAAATTATGCACAGAAGCTTTCTTATGTCCTCTTATAGTTGCAACTACTTGTCTTGCATCAGAGATTCTCATGCTGCAGGTGCTACTTCTCAGTTTGCATGAGGGGCCATGACAAAAAGGATCTGAGCAGACATTGTGTATGAGTGAGTAAGAAAGGCAGGCAGGCAGGCAGGCAGGCAGGCAGGCAGGCAGACACAATGCAATGTTTAGGACCTCGTACTATTAATCTGAAACCTGGCAAACAATGATGAGAAGGAAGACTAGGTTCCAGCACTGCATCTTGGTTTGGAATTCTGCCTGGCATTGTTCACTGGAATTTCATATATGAGAGATATTAATATGGTCTACATGAGAATACATACAGAGACATTTGCATTAATTATATTTTAATCCCACCTTGATTCTCAATAGCTCAGAGTAACATACGTTCCCCTCCATCTTATCCTTGCAAGAATCCTGTTGAGAGTAGATTGAATTGCAGCTCTCCTCTAACCACTGAACTCTGGTGGTCCTTGTTGACTTCCCTTGTAAACCTGCAAAAGTCTGATCCTAAGCATGCTCCCCAAATGCTTTCCTTCTTTGGGACAGTTGTCATCACAGGCATGAAGAGACAAGACAACATTTCAAATTACCTGCATTTTGTCCTCTGCTTTCTTGAGAATCCCCAGGAGGTCCTCAGTGATGCATGTCTGTGCTTCTGTTTTTTGGGGTTGCCTTCATATCTGTAGGAAACACTACTCTTTGATTTAGAATCATTTTTGCACAAACCAAACAATGACAACGGCACAAAGCAATATCCTATTGAGGCCCAACATTTTGTGATGCCTGGAGTCAGGCAGTTAGTTATTCTGATGGGTAATACTCAAGAATGAATATGTAATATGGTGCAGGGGAAAGATTGAAGAATGATTAATTTCAGGCAACATTTTAGAAAAACAGCTATAATCTTAGCATATTTCAGACTAGAGTCATTATCTTTTCTAGAAATTATGTCAGCATATAACTGGGATGGTTCTTGGCCATGTAGGAAGTTCTGGGCACAGCACAGCCTGATGATCCCATTAGCCACACTCCATTGGTGGGGAGGAGAAATTTGGCTTTCATATTGACATGAACCAGAATTTCTGCTTGTCAGGGTAATACAGAAATGCGATTATCCTTTGGTGGTTGCAGTTCTCTGAATTTTGCAGTAATTTTGCAATCAAAAATTAAATCAAGATAAAGTGAATCAAATCATTCACTTCTTTGAATTTGGCAATCCAGAACTGTGTACAAAAAATGTGAACATTTGGAAAATAGCATAGAGAAAGGCAAGTGTTAGGGAAATCACCTGTTAAAAATGTGTCTATTGGGGGAAATGCATGCAAAACACATGAATTTTCATGCAAATAACAAATAAATAAATTGCAAAGCAATGCAAAAAATAGGATGCAATGAACGTGTGTTGAAATAATGTGAAAGTTATAGAAATTCACATACAGATTTGTTCATCCAGACACTCCTCCTCTGCCTGCTGTGGGAAGGAAAAGGACTCTAGCTTCTTCCCAAACAGGCAGGAGAAGCATGAGGTGAGGAAGGTGAAGGAAGCAGTAAGGGGGAAGGGAAGAGGGGGCATGGTGACTGCAATCTCTCCTGGTGCCTCAAAGCTTTAAAAAGAGTCAGAGGCACCTCCTTATGTGAAGGATCAGCAACACTAAATCTCTCTGGCTTTTCAGATGCAGACGCTCTGACTGTGACCCCTGCTTCCAAGTGGAAAGCTTGAGACAGGATGTTTTGGTTCAAGTGCTAGGACAACATAGCATAACTTACAACCTCCCTTCACTGAGCTAGAAGTGTGCTTTAAGTGTGGTGTTGAGAATGTCCAACCCCAAAGGTGACACTTATGTGATCCCATGTGTCTGCTGGTACACCTGGGCCTCTATTGACTGCTTCAGCAAGAAGTGATAGGAATTTTCTTGTTGGTCCCATGTGGTTGGCCTGAAAGAAGGCATAATGTCCTGCACTTGAAATGCAGTTATCTTTTGCAGATTTTCCACTAAGATATACAAAGGTGATGCTCAAGGCTGAGCAAAGCAACCACTTTTACTATTGAGCAGGAACTGAGGAAGTCAGTGAGAGGCCCAGCTTCCTTCCCTGCCTCCCCTCCTCTTTGATCCGTCTTTGCAAGCTTGTCCTGCCCCTTGCTGTGCCAGCCAGTTACAGACTTGGAGGAGGGAGATACTTTTAGTCCAGTTAGAGCTGAAGCCATGACTGTGAGTTAAGAAGGAATCACGCTTAATTTTTACTTTTGGTCAGTTAAAATCTGGCTTGATTTTGGAATGGGTGGAGGTATTGAAAAAAGTGCTGGCACAGGCATCCTCATCTGTTTTAAGCCCATAGACACATTTTGGAATTTGGGAAGTTGCTAAGGGCATCAGCGCACAAGGATAGTGACTCGCCAATTTGGCTTCTACCTGCATAAATTTTAGACTGTATCTTTTCATGTTTTTCTGGCATCTTTTTCTGGGTGCCTGCAGGCTGTATGTTGAGGATACTCATGGGCATCTGTAACAATGCCCAGGGATAAATGAGGCCCAGTCGACCATGTTGGGAAGCCCTGTGCCAGCACTGAAAGCCAAACAGCAGAGTCTGTACCTATCCGAACCCCAGAGTGCCATTCAGGAGAAGTCTTATCAATTGCCTTAATTCCCTCATTTTCCAGCTGAAATTGTAGTCCTGTGTAAAAAGGGTAACAGCTGCTGAATTGGCTGGTGCTACACAATAGAGACATGTAGGAATATCTTGGTTGTTTTGGTTTGGTTTTGGATGGCAAAAATATAAAATGCCATTTTATATTTGATTTTGCATGTCAGCAATTGGATGGGGCCAATCTTTACTGCTCTTGTATGCCAGCTATCAAACACTGTGAAATATGAAATACACATGCTGAGCAGTAATAGGCGGCATTCAAATGAAAGTATAAATACATGCATGCATTCATACATACAGATAACAAATATAGAGGAAGTATTTGGTAAATGATGAAGGCCCATGTGGCAAAGTGGTTGGAAATTAGGCACTCCCAAGTTGTAGTTGTGTTCGCTGAGGTAATGTCGTGCCAGTTAGACTTTCAGACCAACCTACCTCACAGGGTAGTTGTGAGGAAAAAATGGAAAAAAGGAGAACTTTGTAAGCTGCCTTGAGTTCCTTGCAAGAGGAAAGAAGTGCAATGTAATAATATTTTTTAGTCTATCTGAAGAATATTCAATGTCCACAGAGGAAAATTTTGAAGTGAATATTTTTGGGAGCAGATTTATTTCAGCTTTCAGGAGCTAGGTCTGCTTTGTGGCAAGTGTTAAGTTACTGGCTTTTTAATTCTACCCAACTTCATGATGTAAATGAAACCTAACTGTGTTTTATTCATGCATTCTAACTGTGTTTTGTTCTAAGCTTAGTATAATCTTATATGTAATAATATATATCATGTCTTATAAGAAGATCAAAGATTTGATATTTCCATTTTACTCCTAAACAAAGAAGACAATATTCCTCATAGTCTGGGTTTTCTATAAAATTCAGATTAAATCTTGACTGCCATGTGGTCTCCTTTACAGTCCTCTGTTGGAAGGGCTGTGGATGAGAGTCCTCCATTCAGAAAACTGTTCAGGGCAATCTGGCTCAAAGATAAAGCACCCTAAGGAGCGGGGGCCTGAAGTTGCCCATCCACAGATAACACCTGGAGAGCAGGTACACAGCCACAAGTGTTCCTCACCACGGTGAAATGCATTTCAATTAATTAACTATAATTAATTTATATTGCCACTTTCCCCCTCTTACAAGCAATCCAAGGCAACTTACATGGTCCTTGTTCTCTCCATTTTACTTTCCTAACATTCCTATGAATTAAGTTAGGCTAGGAATCAAAGGCTGACCTGAAGTCTTTGAGCTTCATGGCCATGTGGAACTAGAACCTGGGTCTCCCAAGCCTAAGTCCAACACTCTAACCACTAGACCACACTGGCCCTCCAATTCTTTAGGAATATTCCTATTGCATTTTGTTTTGTTTGCAAATCCTGCATCTTTTTCTGACCTCTTTTTAGTCACATGTAAGATAAGGGCCAGTGGGGACCTTGTGTGCCCTTGCTGGAGGGCATTAAACCACTAGGGGCTTGCTCTGCCTTCATATTTTGTTGTCAGGGTCCTGGTGAAGAAGTGTGACACCACTGCTAGGCAAAGCCAAAAAGTGGTGGCCAAATCCTCTCCAATATTTGGGCTTTCAGGCTCAAATCTGCCTGCTGCTTACTCCTTCCAGGTTTCCCAGTTGTTGCAAAATGGCAGTGCTGGGGTTGTGGCTGTGGCTGTGGCATGGCTTTCACAGGTAGCCAGTCTGGCTGGGTGGCGAGTTGGGAAAATAAAGAGAGGTAGAGCATGTCCTTATGAGGGGTGTTTTGGAGTTTTGCATCTACAGAGTGCTCTGCAAACCAGCAAGCCTCCATTTGCTCAGTCATGGTCCCTCTCCCTCATCTGGAAGACTACAGTAGAAATACTGGAAACTCTACTTCATAGATCTGCTGTAAATGTTGCCAAGTATGCAAAGTGCTTTGAACCCTCCAGAGTGCTACATAGGTACTCAGTATTGCTATTAGCAGCAATGGGATTGAACAAAAGGGGTTCAAAACTGTAGAAGGCATGCAATCTTCTGCTTGATTTCCACCAACACTGTATTAATTTTATTATTATCATTAAACACTTTTGTTTTGTTTTGTTTTGTTTGTATAGAAGGCTGTGATCCTGTACCTACTTATTTGGAGGGAAGCCCAATTGAACTGAACTGAGCTTTCTTCTGAATAGACACGAATAGGATTGTACTATACATGCCCTCAAGAGCAACATCATGTTAGAGTCTCATTTTAGAAGTCTGTCAGTATAATGCATTCATGTGTTTCTGAATTTGCAGGTGCCTTCTTCATACCCTACCTCATCTTCCTTTTCACCTGTGGGATCCCAGTGTTCTTTCTAGAGACAGCACTTGGGCAGTATACCAGCCAGGGAGGGGTTACTTCCTGGCGGAGGTTGTGCCCTCTGTTTGAAGGTAAGTTGGATGTGATGGGACCAGCCCATTGAGCTGAAAGCTTGAATCAGATTTCTTAGAATGGGAGAAATGGGTTGTATCCAGTGTGAGTCTAATTTAACTTTCATTGACTAACAAGGGATACAACCCAGTTTTATGAGAAACAAACCAAGCTTCTTTCTCTCTGGCTAGGTTCAGACAATAAAAGAAGCCATGGTGGTTTTCTGCTGTGGTGATTTTTTGCCATTGTTGGTCTGTTTTGTTGTCTGAAGTCAGCCATGATATTTCATCATGCTGAGTTTGGCCTTTAGAACCAGGATAAGAAACAATAGTTTATCCCTGGTTTCTGCATGCCACCATGGCTTGTCTGAACTCAGGATTATGCTTTTCAATGGCCCTAGTGTGCAACTGCCTCAGGGTCCCCAGGAAAGAGCAGCAACTGCAAGAATTGCTCCTGCCATCCAGCCTCCATAAGGCAGGAGCAGGTGACAAAGGCAGAGAGTGGAGCACCTTGGAATTGAATTTCAGGCATGATGGTTGATGGGATATGAGCCAACAGTAGGACTGTGCAGGGAGAATGGAAACCACAATAACATAACAGTTATGTTGAGCAGATCAACATAATTGTCTATTGAGTAGATCATAGTAATAAAACTCCAACCATGATAACCAAGCAGGCTTGCTGGTTGGGTTGTGTGGGTCCAAGGCTCTGTGTTAGGAAGAAACCAGACATGACATCAAACGCTTCAAAACATGGAAACACTTAATAGTCTGACCTCTTGTTCTTTGGATTGCCCTGAAGGCCCCTGCAAATCAGGATTTTGATCTTGGTGCACAGAAAAGGGGGCTTTAAGTCTTTTCTTGTATGCCGTTGTCCAGAGAAAGATTGCTCACCTACGTACACTGCTATGAGTCCCAGGAGAGTTCCTTCTGTTGGTGCCCTGCTGCTGTTTGAGGTTTTATTTGCTGTTCTCATTGTTTTAACTGCCTCTTTTGTTTGTTTAATGCTTTTGAGTGTGTTCAGGTGTTATACCTGAATGTTTTCTATTGCTCTTGATGGATTAATGAGACTTGCAATCTTGAAAATGCTTAATTAATAGATGGGATCTATATATTTTTTAAAAAATGTAAGCTGAGTGACATGCTTGTCCAGCCTTCTCCAAACTGGTGTTCTCCAGGAGAGTTGGACTACAACTCTCGGCACCCCATCATACTGGGCAGTCATGGTGAGAGTCATGCTACAGGTTGACTTAGGGATGTGTGAGTTGTACTTAAAACATCCTGAGGGCACCAGGTTGGGGGAGACTGTTTTAGCTCTTGTCTATTTTAGCTCTTTGTGGGACATGTATTTGTGGATGCTACTGAACAGTGAGTGAATAGAGTGTCATGACTGGGAAACCCAAGGTAAAGCTTGCAGTGGACTGTATTAGATGTTAGTCCTGCCTAGAGTATACCCACTGAAATGAATGGGCTTAAGATAGATTGACATTCTATGAGCCCTGGTACTGTGTGATCCTGAATTTATAGGGGCTTAATAAGAGTTTCCAGTACTCTGGTTTGTGTGGGAAATGTGACTGTTTTAAAGAGAATGCATATGGAGTTCTGTATATTGAAGTGGGAGTGATAAAACAGGCAGGAATTATTTGTGGAATTGGAACCAATCGACTGTCAGAGATGAGGTGCTTAGGAGAGGCTAAGGCAGTGGTCACATTCATCTCTTTTATAAATCAAGATAAGCTTCTGCAATAGGGAAAGAAGGAGCTGACCACTCTGTGACAGAATGTCCTTTGGATTACAGAAGCCTAGAAGTATAGCTGTAATTTCATGTGCAGCTGGAAACAAAATCAAAACAACTGTGTGCAGCTGAAACACGCATGCCTGTAAGCACCCCAGGTGTCATTAGTCTGACTTGCACAAATCCGCTTTGCTCAGAAAGTTAAACACACATAACTGAGTAAAATCTAGCAGAGATGGACTTGAAGTGATTACAAGTAAAGCTCTGACAGTTTCAACTTGGATTTCATTTCTGCCACAAATTTCAAGAGGAACAGAAATAAACTCAAATCACCAGTCTTAAGACCTAGTTGCAGAAAACTGATATGAGTATGATGGAGCAGGCTAAGCTTTCCCAGCCTGCTAAACAAATATGGCCCACATGTTGTCCAAAGTCCAAATTCACCCTTCTTCTGAAGTTTAACATACCAGACGATAAGATAACTACCTACTGTGTTGCTATGGCCATTTCTAGTGTTCCTCCCCCACAGGTGTTAAACCCCTGATAGGTAAGTACACATTTATAAGAAAGGCTGAGCTGCGGTTCAAAATGACAGTCCCATACTGAGTTTCCACTACCCCAGAACACATATTCTCACATCATGATATGGTTCATTTTCCCATCCTTGCTGCGCAGAATTGTCAGCTGCTGCCCAGGATGGGAAAATATTCCGCATGACATGGGGTTCTGTGAACATTATGGGGAGAAACAAGGAGAATGCCACGCAGCTGCCAGTTTTATCATGCACAGTTCTGCTATGAAGAGCCCTGCAGAGTCCTGCATGTCTGACTTCCTTGTCTATTCTACACAAACAATTTTTCTGGGATGCAAAACAAGTTGTTGCTTCCTTTTAGTGATTTAACTTCCTACCAAGTTGACCTTTCGAATGGACTCTGCCATACTTGTCTTATGAATTTTGTATTAATGTAATGTATTTTGTATTCGATGTTGTAAGCCGCCCCGAGGCCTTGGCAAGGGGCGGCATAGAAATGTTTTAATAAATAAATGAATGAATGAATGAATGAATGAATGAATGAAGGCTGCAAGCGTTTCAGATTAACAATGCTAGACAGAAAGTGTTGGGTGGGCTTTACTTCCAAATGTTTTTCAGCCTAAGATGAGTCTAAGCATCAGTCTATGTCAGTGCCAGGTAACTTATGGGCACTGAGCATATACATAAACTCTGAAATGGAGTGCATATATCTAAGTTAAAGTGTCTACAGAATGGATTACAACTTCCAATCTTAATGGAGCATGCTTTACACATAGGACAGATTCAGAGTATTCCTCAAGAATTTAGATTTTAGAATGTTTCTGCTGAGCCAATCTGTATTTCCAGGAATATTTGCAGTTAGTATCTCCCAGGGTAGGCAGCATGAAGCCCTGGGTCCTGGACACTTTCTTTGGTGCCCAGCAAGATGTCTTACTTTCTTAATTTCTTACTGGCATCTGGGATCACTCCAGAGCAAACTGAGAGCCTCTGGCTGCTCCCATCTTCGTTTTCCATGAATCCCTAAAGGCTGCTCATGGGTCTCAGTCATTGTTAAAATCAAGATGGCTGCAGGCTGCTCTTCCATCTTTAGCCATGCTCATTTTGTTGTGCACATAATAGGTTCTCAAAGCACCAAAGTGCTCACAGTCTCAAAAAGATTTCCTACCCCAATTTACATAATCCCTCCTATAGACTAAACTGATGATGTCTGATTTTACTGTTAGAGAGATGGGTATGTGCATGGTCATTTTCTGTAATTTGTACTCATAGGATTTATCTTGGAGGTTTGTATGTCATAGTAACCCAACCTAGCAATAAGTCACAGTAGTCGGTAGCTTTCCAAACAACCAGTTATGCACCTGACAGATCATTCTCACCTTGAGTTTTTCTTCCTCTTTTTCCCCTTCAGTCCCCCAGGACACTTGGGACCTGAAGCTGCTTTATCTTCTCACCCCTTTTTCGTTTACTGTAGCTTTCCCCTCCTTTCCTGTTTTTCCTTTGGAGAGCACAAATAGTCCCTCCAAAGGGCCCAAGTGACACACTGAAGAAAGGTGATTGGCCATTGTCCTTGTAAAAAGGAATTTCTAGAGCCCCAAATGCTGCAAATAAGCAGTGTGCATACTTCCCTGATCAAACCACCCAATCTATCAGGTCGGATGAGATCAGATGTCCAGATTTGGATGGCATGGCAAGATATCATGGGTTGAACAACCCCTACAACAGCCCATGGGTTCTTAGGATGGCTTGCTGGAAAGCATACTACATACAAGCTATCCTGTGGGAAGCTGTCTGGATTGAGACAATACAAGTTATTGTTAGTTTTTATCTCAGGTGAACCAAATTTATCTTTTTCAGGGTTCTCCACAGGCGCCCTTAGAAATACAGACCCCTGATGTATCTTGGTCAGGGCCCAAATGTGACATTCAACATTCTGAGACTTTGTTTTTTCTCTCCATATAGGGAAGTCTGACAGCCAGTATAGAGGCAAAACTGCAATATCACCAGCGATCTGTGTGGGGCTCTGGCTGTTGATTGCTTGTGGAACAGTATGCAAGTGAAGGAATAGTTTGGGCAGTAGCCACCTAAACTAGTGATGTTAAGGAGTAGCTATGCCAATGGAGATACCATGTTTTATTGATTTGGTGATACGGTATGAGATAGGCTATCAGTTGATATGTGACCAATGTGACTGTCATATGGAGGAGGCTGTCAATGACTACTAGTCCTGATAGCCACATATTCTGCGTCAGAGGCCATGTGCTTATGAGCACCAGTTCCAAGGAAACATCAGTGGGGGTTCTGTTGTGCTTGTGTTTCTCAGGGACAGCTGGTTAGCCACTGTGTGAATGGAGAGCTGGACTAGATGGCCCTTAGCCTTGCTCTGCTACTCCAGTTTCTTAATCAGTGATTACTCTTGGCAGCTCATCTGGGGCACACTGTCCTACTAGCCAGGGGAACTCTGTAAATTTGTCACTAGTGGGACTGCTGTCCACAGGAGATAGTGTGGCTCCAAACTGAGGTATTCTGGGGGCAAGAGAGGTGCAGCCTTGGATCTACTGGATTCAGAGCTCCTTGTTTAGGGGAGAAACTGAAGGACTTTTCCTTTATTCTTGGGTCAGTGTGCTTAATTCCCCTCCTATTGGAATCAACAAGGGGAATTTTAAAATGGCACATCTGCATGGGAAAGATGAGTGAACCCCCCTCCTTCATGCACAACCTGGCTTTGCTGATGCAGACTGTCAGGACTTTGGAAGCCATGGAGGATCTGCCGGTTTGTGCAGGATTGTCCCCCCATCCAGCCCCACTGCCAGCTGCTATCAGGACTGCTCTGCTGCACCAGTTGCTTGGTGAATATCTGTTCCAGGAAGGTTTGTTAGTACATCTAGGAGCACAGCTGCATGCATGCAAAATGAACTGCACTATGACAGTTGGGTACTGTCAGTTGAGTTGTGTTTTGTTTTATCAGTGATAAAGTAGCAGATCCAAACAATAGTCTAGGGCATTTGCTAGTACACCCACTCCAGGTGAGTGGAGTAGCGCAGAGGTTGGCAACAGTAATGTACTGCAAAAGGTGACAGTCCTAGGGCCACTTTGCAAAATGAATGTTGACAGTCACCTAAGTGTGAATGACAGCACTTAAGTATGTTTATCTCAAAGAGCATGGAAATAGAAATCTGTTTTCATGCATTTACAACATTCAGCCAAGATTGTTAGCATTCAGGTGTAGATGTCAATGCTCACAGCAAAGTCACATTTGCTGTGACTTCATCAGGTTCTCCTACATTGCCACTGTTCCAAAAGAAGGAGTGGTGGGGAGGGGAGAAAATCTGCAGATGTTTTGGAGTTCAGCTCCCAGCATCCCTGATTATTAGTCATGCTGGCAGGGACTTCTGGGGGCTGAGGTCCCAAGTACCTGCAAATTTGCTTGCTTTAGAGGCACCATGGGCCTTGCTATGTGAGCCCTTTCCCCTCACAGTGTGAAACCAGTGAATTTGCTATTGCACCTCATGTCTTACTAAGGTACTGTGTCATGAAGGCAACAGGGCCAGGGTGTAGAATCTCAGAGTAAAAAAATAATAAAAATTAAATGGTGATGCAAAACAGAGGTTGTTCATCAGCTGAAAGGCAATGTCAGAGGTCTATGATGGGGGAAGGGGAGAAAGTTTGCTAAACTGATTGCAAGAAAAGTCCTGTCAGGCTGGCCAACACAGTACAAATGTAGTGCTGGCCAGCATGGGGTGCATGTTAATCACAGCTTTTTTATTGTTTGTGGATTCTGTAAATTGCACTTTCAGGTTTAATTTTTATTAATCAGTTTATGTTGGCTTTAAATCAAAAGCTTCCTTCCACTCTGCTAGATCAACATTCAGAAAAAAGGGACATAATGGAACTGGGGCATTAAAATAAGGGATGTGTATTACGCATTGTGAAAGTGTAAAGGAGTGACTGAATAGGGGTTTCTATTTATTTTTCTATAGAACTGCAATGTTCTAGGAAGAATAAATGATTCCTGTCAAATGTAACTGAGGTAGAAAGGCTGTGAATGGCAGAGGGAAAATTAAAAAAGAAAGTGGAAAGGGAACTGAGAAGACTTAACAAAATAAGTCTCTGTACTTTGTACAAGCAAGTAAAAAGAAAAAGAATAATTGGGATTGTAAAAAGGAATGTCAAAACATCTTGCAATGATGGCAAAGGCAAACTGCATTCTATGGGAACTGGTTATGTCTCCCATTCTTATATAAAAGTTTGCTGCCGTCTTCTAGGATAAAATGGTTGCAACCTCTGATTTCTTGTATGAATAATTCAGAGCAGCTTTCTCCCACCTGCTGCCCTCCAGATGCATTGGAATTCAACTCCCATCACTCCCAGCCAGCATTGGAACATCAAGTTGAGGAAAGCTGACTTAGGGTTGCTCAGACTTTGGAACAAATGGAAAATGAGGCAAAAGGTCCCTTGGTAATTAGGGGCACTTGGTAGATTTCTGTTTTGTTCAAAGGTGAGTTGCTGTGGTTGTTGGTTCAGATGCACACAGAATCATGACTGACTGCAGGCCAAAGCAAATGGCTGTGCCTTAAACATGTTGAAATGCTTTACCCATTTAAAAAGAGGTTTTTCATTGCAATCGGCAGTATCTCCATCTGATATAGCTGACTTTTATGCAGTGCTTCTCAAACCATGGGTTGCAGTCTTCAAGTGGACCTTGATATGTTCCTAGACGGGTAGTACAATGTAGACACTTTTCTCCCCATTTCCAGGTTATTTTTTCCCACTGTACAGACTGCACATCCTTAAAGTTCTGCATCCCTTTAAGAGACAGACCTGCTCCTTCAGTTGCTGCATGTCATATGGAACAAATCAGTGGAAATTGCAAAAAGGAGATCATTGCCCTGGCCAGTTCTGGAAATGGCAGAGAGGTGTAATGACAGTATTGGCAGAGAGGTGTAATGACAGTATTGGATATGCAGAAATGAAAAACAAAATGCAGATTGGTCTGGTGTTAAAAGTAGCAATTTCCTGTGTGTTTTCTCTTGTGGAGGGAGAAAGTAAATTTTGAAAGGCTGAGTAACTTGACAGGTGGGACCCACTTCAAAGACATTTTAAAAATACTGCTTTGGTGTAATAATTTATTTTTAAGCCCGTGGTTTTTGTTCACTGTGTTTCTTCTCTCTCTCGGCAGGAATTGGTTATGCTTCCCAGGTTATCGTTGTACTGCTTAATTTCTATTACATCATTGTCCTCGCTTGGGCCTTGTTTTACCTCTTCAGTTCGTTCACCATAAATCTTCCATGGGGCAGTTGTGACCATGATTGGAACACAGGTAACCTGGCATCTACCTTCTGCCTTTTTGCAAGACATCGAGTTGGCCTTCCCAATCTGGGCCCCCCAGAGGTGCTGGTTTGCACTTGACAGCCATCGGAAAACTGACCCCCTCACAGCAGAGGTGGTGGTTGAAGCCCCAGATGTCTGGGAGGTCCTCTGCTCACCATCCTGTTGTCCATGGGTGCTTGCTAATATAAGAGGCCCTCATGATCTTTGTTGCATCTAATTCCTCTGACTGAGCTGGCTTTTGCCTCCCCTCCTCATTCTTTTCTGGAATCAAATACTGTCCTTGTCCCAATTCAAACATCCCTCTTTTATAAATAGAGATGCTCTTAAGAAACAGGTTCCTTTACAGATTTTAGGCCATATGTAAATTAGCATCATACACATTTGCTGCATTTTTTGTGTCCTGTGGGTCTGATCCTCAGATCTTTTTGGTTTCTAACATAGATTTAGGGCTGCCTAATGTTATTGCTGGGCTTGTTAGAGGGTGGTGCTTTAGCTGCACATTGTGGGTATGTCCGGTTGTCTGCATTCAGTCTCTGTTGCTTGTCTTGCAGAGAACTGTGTGGAATTCCAGAAGGCAAATTCTTCTCTAAACATAACGGGGGAAAATGCCACCTCACCTGTCATTGAGTTCTGGGAGTAAGTGAAGATATTTCTTTCCCAGCCCCCTGCCCTCTTTAGGAGCTTCACTTTTCCAAGTAATGAGAACCAGCCACATAAGTGGCTACTGGATGTGCTCACACTAATTCTGCCTGTAGTTAATCCTGGCATCTCAGGTCACAGTCCCTGGGAAAGCTCTCTGTATCTGAAGAGTTGCTGAACAATTGCTCCTCAGTAAGGACCATGCTGAGGAATGTTCTGAATAGATTTCCTCTCATGTTCAGAGGAGTTTGTGTTCTGAATACATCCCCTCTTATTGTTCAGGGGTGTGTACAAAGAGGAGACAGCAGGTTGAGGTGAGGAAGGAAGGGAGGCATGCAGGATTGGGCTCTGGAGGCATCTGGTTGTCTTCCTGGAGATCTGCTGTGGGAACAATAGATTGCTTACCACTTCTCAGATGGTTTAAGTAAGCACCTCCATCTTTTTGTAAATACATGCAAACATTATGAAACTCCAGCAAGCCTCCAGTGACCACCCTCAAAACAAAATGAAATCTGGCTAGGGCACTGCACCTCTGGAACCTCAGAATTTGGGGTGCATGGAACTCTTCTTCCACTTTGCAACAGCAGTCTGTTTCTACAGCATCCTTCTCCAACTTGGTGTCCTTCAGAAGTTTTGGATTACAACTCTCGCCATCTACAGATACGTGTATCATGCCAAATGGTCCCAAAGAGTCCCAAACAATTGGAGAAGGCTGCTCTAGATGGACAGGTAGGGACAAGCAAACCAAGGGACGCTTGTCTTTGTCATGGAATGGCTTCTCTTGAGGGCTGAGGCCAGTCTGCATCGTGGTCCCCCAACAGTGTTGGGGGATGGCAGCACATGCTCCCCCCCCCCCCGCACCAAAACACCAGCAGTGGTGGCTGAGAAATCTCTTGCTGGCCTTGACTTCTCAGGCCCCTCGGCCCTGGCTCTTTATGGTGTGTCCTGGGACCTGAGATGGAGGCTAAACCCTTGGCACTTTGGGCTAAATCCTGAGACCTAGCACAATGAGCCATTGTGTGAAAATAGCACGTCCATTCAGGGACTCAGCATTATTATTATTACTGAGATCTTAGTGAACCTGAAAGAAATCAGGCTGGGCCTGCTTCTTCTACAGGAGGAGAGTCCTAAAGATTTCTGATGGCATAGAACATCTGGGCACCATCCGATGGGAGCTGGCGCTCTGCCTCCTCCTTGCCTGGATCATCTGCTACTTCTGCATCTGGAAGGGAGTCAAGTCCACTGGCAAGGTGAGCATCTTTTTCTCCCACTCCAGTTACAAGTCAGGCTACTTGAAACCCTTTGAATTGGTACACTATACTAGAGAACCTTTTTTTTTTTTTCTTATGAAGGGCCATTGACCTATGACAGGTGTGAAGAACCACTTCTAGCCTGAGTTTTGATTTTGGTTTTGGAGAAGCTCTCAGGGGCTCCTCTTCAACAGTCCGTAGAACCAAAATACCAGCCTCTTAAAGCACTGACTGCCACTGATTCAGCCTAGGAGAGGCAATTCCATATTTTAGACTGAAAAAATATGTGAAAAAGCCAAGAAATCATCAAATGAGCAACTGTTGGGGAAAGGGGAAGTGGTGGCCATAAAAGGACCATTTGGGGGACCGTGGAAGACTGGGTTTGGCTTCCAGATTTGATCCCTGCCTATGGGAAGCATCAGTTGGGGACTGTAGCAGATGAGCAGAAAGTATAGTTGTATCTGTGTAGGGTTGCACAACTGTCTTTCCATGTCACAGGCAGAAATTTAACTGGGGCAGCTTTTTCCTCAGTGCTTAGGCAGAATGTCGATACAGGGCAAAAAGCTTCTAGCAGCAAATGATGGTTTCCAGCTGGATCCTTAGAAAGATGGCCTCTGTATATACATTTTCCCCAGACACCCGTTACCCATCTCACTGCCCTGCTAAAATGTCACTTGGATCTTGAACAGATTGGTGGTGTAAGTTCTGTAACTGATGTGACACTCCAGCCATCCTGACAACTTTCCATGGATCAGCCATGGTGTACCTTAGCATCCTGCAACAGCAGGGGGTTGGACCCTATGGCCTTCATGGCCCCTTCCAAATCTACTATACTATGATTCTATGAGTCTTATGTTATTTAGAGAGCATTTGCTATAGAAAAGTCAGGCAGGAAGTAGATAGAGAAATTAGTAGATATTTGGGTGATTCGTGGGTGGATCAGAGAGGGTTCCTGACATCCAGTTATTGAACAATAGTAGTAACACTAAGGTATTCCTGGACTCCCCCAGTTGAATTATTGTTGCAAGCCATCTGGAGATGTGTAGTGATTGGATGGGTTACCCCAAATAAATAAGTAAGTAACTAAGTAAGTAAGTAAGGCTACCGAAATGAAGAAAATTGGACATGATCTTTGCATCAGAGGATTCTGAACTTCCACTTTTCCACCTGGGCCCAGCTAGTGGCTCTTGAGAGTCAAGTAAAACACAAATTGCTTTTGCAGGCTTGAATTCTGCCCACCCACGTGCATTTGCTATCAAGTTGCTGTTTGGCAGCTCTGAAACTTTCCCGGTATCTCTGGTTGTGGCGTGGATGCTGGTTTGCTACCTGGCTAGTGTCCCCCATCTTTGCAACTCCCAGGCTTGTTTTCATACTAGACATTTTCTCTGGCATTTTCATGTTAGGATGCAACTACCCTGAATGCCACTAAAACTTCTTTCCTGGGCTGATTGCAGATAAGGAGTGTAGAATTTTTGTTAGGATCACAGTGGGGACAACAGGCTTAAATCAGGCTTAAAACTGTGGCTGGTGTGACCCATTCTGAGTCTTGGTCTGAATTCAAAGGAGGTATGTATTTTGGGTCTGGGGTTTAGCACCAGGGCTAGCTCCTTAAATAGCTGACTAAAGCTTGATGTGCATTCATTGGTGCCTCTGCTGGGTTCAGCCTTATATGTGTGAATCCTGCCACCTCCAGCTCCACATTCCTGTGACGAATCTTATATATGAACTAACAAACAGACCTGGCTTTATACAGGCTGGACTTGCCCTTAGTTTAATACTGCACAGTGAGCAAGCAAATATCTGCAGTTGTTACAGTTGGGCACACTGTTCCTGCCCTAATTGGATTAGGACTTGCCTCTAGGCATGGCCCCTTCTGTGGTGAAGCCCTTTAAGCCTCAGTAGATGTGCCTGTCCAATCTAGTCCCCAAGGGAGATGTCCTGCAGTGCAAGGGAAGGGCAGCCCTGTACTTCTGTCCCTCAGCTGGTTAATTTTCCAAGGCTTTAAGCTATGTAAGTTAGAAGGCTATGTTCTAGGTAGGGAAACCTGACAATTAGTGACTGAAGATGTTGCTGCAGGCTTCAAACACATGGATACATTAAAATGAATGAGAATTAATAAATGCTTGTAAAAATGATCATAAGGTGCTTGTCCTTGGGGACTCCTTAACATGTGAACCACGATGCAGGTGTCTAGGTTTCACAGACTTAGCACAGATGCACATCTTCATTTATTATAGATAATGAATTAATTTTTTGAGTGGTGATCCTTATGCGGCTAAACCATCCATGCATTACATAGAGAATTAGCAGGCTTGGGGGAACCTCATGATTTGCCAAACAGAAACATCTGTCAGAAAAAACCTGGGTGTTGCGGGGAGACACCTGAAAAAGCCATGTGAGGACAGATTGTGCTAAGCAGGCATGAAATACTGACCTACCAGGGACAGGGAGGCCGAAAACGAGGGATTCGGAACAGACTAGTGTATCTTGGAAAGGCTGGCTAGAACCCTGAACAGAAGCATTCCACACTGCAATGTTCGGAAGCTTCCTTCCTCATTAACATTGGCAGAGAAGTAAATAATCACATGATCTGCACATGAAAACATGGAGGCATGTCATTTGAGGATGTGGCAGCAGGAGAAAAAGGTCTAGTCCATGTTGGGTTTTTGCTTATCAAAGGTTATAGTGACTGGTTGCATGCAAGAGCTGGGCTGTTGACAATCCATTGCAGATTCTCAAAAGCAAATGCCAAATCCTGTGCATCCCCGCCCATGGCTACAAGCTGCTCTGCCTACAAGTCACTATTTTATGTCCTCTGTGCATCATGGAAGTTATGAGATGGCCTCTTGACTGCTCTATCTTGTCCGCCTCTTCCTCAGTTCACACAATATGCTCCTGTCACTGGGTGCTACTATCATTACTGTCATTTAATACACATGCTGAGCCATTTCCAGCCAGCTTCACATTTGGAGTTAAGAACAGATGGAAGTAAAATGTTGTCTTAGTGAGAAAACAGCTTTTTCCTGGGAATGTGAAAACCAGAATGCTGTGATGAGACCAGGCGGAATCAACATGCATGGCAAAGAGTTTGGTGCTTTCTTCCCTACAAATGAATTTGAAGTCTAGCATGGGATTCCTCACAGAGACAGCAGGTATCTACCAAAATAATGAGGGGAAGATGCAGCCATGTTGTGGGTCAGGATGAGGATGATAGGAGTCTCTGGAACCAGGGCTAGAACTGTTGATGGGCCAGAGGTGGGGAGCTCTTTCAGCTGAAGGGCTGAATTCAGTGTTGGAGAAGCTCTTGGGAGCTACATTTCAGTGGGCAGAGCTGAGGGCAAAGAGGCAGAGCCCAAAATACAAAGACTACCAGCACATCATGGCTTGAAGCTCTTAGTGCAGATGACTAAGTCTAGAGGAGGCAGTCTTGCTTTTTAGAATGCAGGAAAAATGTCCACAAGCCATGAATTATATAACCATAGAATAGTAGAGTTGGAAGGGGCCATGAAGGCCATCGATTCCAACCCCCTGCTGTTGCAGGACACCAAGTTACACCATCCCAATCAGATGGCTGTCCAGTTTCTTTCTGCATGTCTCTAGTGTGGGTGAGTTTACCACCTCTCTAGGCAGCTGGTTCCATTATTGTATTGCCCTGACAGTGAGGAAGCTTTTCCTGAAACCAGGCTGGTGGAAAGAGGGTCCTTAAGGGCCAGATTTGGCCCACAGGCCTGAGAGGTCCTCCACCCCTCCATGGTGGGGTGGATGCCTTGCGCAGCAGATGCTTGGGGATGCAGCATGGCAGCTCCTGCCTCTCCTCATCCTGAGTCTCCCTGCACTCCTGGCTGTCCCCATTTTCCTGAGCTGAGGCCCTGGTCACTGCAGTGTTTGCTTGCTAGTGACTTGACTGGCTGTCTTACCTTGTCACCTGTTCTCCGTGCCTTGGACAGTGTCACTGGGAAAACCCCTGAGCCAGTGTGCAGGCAGAAAGTCCAGACCACGCACTTCAATAGACACTGCAAGTGCACAAGCGTTGCTATGTTGATGAGCTACATGGTGGCACAGCCTACCTGACGCAGGGGGGAACTTCTTGCTTTGCACCGCAACATTTGCATGAACAAGCATCTGGTCGGGCATTGGGCTAGTTGTTGCATTCTGGTGGTCCCTTTACTTGCTTAGGTAGGTTGCTACCCTCCGGGATGGTGGAGAAGGCTTTCCCATTGCCAGGAGGGTCTGGTCTGGTCAGCATCTGTATGTGGGTGATTGTGGGTGGGTAGCCAGAGGTAAGAAGGAGTGGAGCTTCCATGCCTGTAAAGAGATGCATAGAGGAAGGGATTTCAGCAGATGTAGCCTGCCTTGTAAGCTGCATTTGCAGACATCCTCTCCCCTGTGTACCCACTTACAGGTGCAGGAACCTGGTTTTCTTTGAATCTTGCTATCCTGATGGGTCAGTGCTGGTGGCACCTTGTCCTTTGTCTTAGGTTGCAAAAGGTATTTCAGGCCACTGAGTGCTCTGAAGACATTTTGGACCGTAGTCCCCAGCCACTGGTCATGCCGACTGGGTCTTATGGGAGTTGTTAACTTTTCGGTGGGTTGCCACATGATGGAGACAATTCGATGGCACATAACATCTATTGGGTTGGCTCCATCCAGAGCCTAAGAAATAAGACCAAACATGTTGATGTAAAACTGATGTAGCAAAAATCCACTGGGTTTTGAATTACATGCTATGTTGAATGCAAAGCTGGCAGGTACCGCATAAACCCTAGAGAAAAAAGATCTAAACAAAGAGAATGTGACAGCTTAAAGTCTTTGGCACCAAGTCCCAGAACAGAAGAGCTGCACTTTGTAGGGTAGGAACTTGCATTAGGCCCAGGAGAGCCAACTTCCTTCCCAAACAGACATGGAGTTTTCCTTTTCTAGGCCGCAGAAGATGAGAAAAGAAAGCAAGTTGGATTGTTTGCAGTGTCTGATGGGCTGTATGTGTCTGTGCCTAACGGTCA